CCGAACCATAACTTCACAGATTTACACTGGTTCGAAATGTCTTCAGAAAGCTATACAAAGTCCTCTTTGAAAGTCAGCTGTATACCATTTGACAGCTGGTTCCACCATTCTCCCGCCTTGAGCGGTTTCGTGAGATGATCTGACATTTGGGCTCCCGTGGGAACCCAAGCGATCTTCCCGACTTCACTAAGATCATCTCTGATGGCAGCTAAATCGATCGCAAGTCTCTTGCAAGATGGGACTCTAGGGACCCCGTCTCGGATTAGGTGATCATACAAACTCCTACAATCGCTAAGGAAACGGAGTTGTAGTCTCGAAGCATTCCTAGCGAGCTTTCCACTCAGTAGGGTTTCCAAGAACCGGCTGATGAAGATCCCGGTCTCGATGGCCGTGGCACATGCCATGGTCTCGGCTGCGAAAGTTGATCGGCACACCCTGTCGCATGCTCCGCTGCGCCAGTCCATGATGCTCACATTGTTCTTATGACCATGTAGCACGCTCTCATCTGCGAGGAGGAAGAGTCCTCCCAGCTGGGAACACACACTCGAATTGGCTCGCTTGGCTCGCGCTCCACTCTTGGCTTGGGGTCCGGTCGTGATTCTCCCGGCTTCGTCTTCCTCGGCAGTGAGACTGTAGTAGGGGTCCTCCTGGCTCTGGGGAACATTGGCCCACCCAGCGTCGTGGTAGCACAGCAGCACCGCGCGGTCGAGGTTAATGGGGTGGATGCGGATTCCTTCCTTCTGGTGCTCGTAGGCCCTCTGCGCCAAGAGGTTGGTAAACTTGATGTCGGCGACGGTAGGTTCACGCTGTCGTTGTTGGCACATAGAGACACCCACTTGGAGATCGGGGCGGCTCTGGCTGGCCAGCCACGATAAAGCTCCGATCAGGGACATGTTGTCGTGCTTCTGAACCTCGTTCGCCATCTCCTCGTCGTCTTGTCCTTTCATGATCTCCACCTCAAAGAGTCTGGTGGCCGTGTAACTTGCCTGGGAGACGATGACCATGTCCTTCTTGATGTCGACGTAGGAGCCCACATAGTCGAAGGACTCGCTTTCCCATTCTCGGATGGGGAATTGTTCACTCAACTTCTCCTTGATGAGCCCGCAAAGTTGATCATCCCCGACCAACAAGACGTCGTCGACGTGGACCCCAATGTAGGCCTCTGGTGCACGTAGGAACTTGACTCCATCTTCCCCTTGAACTTCTTCTTGAACAATGAAGATACAGTGGTCCAGGGAGCAGTTGCTGATAACCCAGGTGCGTCTGTCCTGATCGTCAATCCTCATGCTCGTCAAGGATTTTCGAAACTTGCCCCACCATGCTGCCGGACTGTCCACCAATCCGAAGATAGGTTTTCGTATCCGTAAAAGCTGCTCCGGGTGAAGGTCTCCCAGACCGGAGCGGGGTTGCCGCAAGTACAACTCCCGAGTCAACTCTTCTCCACAAAGAAAAGCAGCTGTAACGTCTCCAGCATGTCCGGTCCATCCGCGGTGTAGGTTGCTCGCGAGAATCTGAAGCAGCAGTAGGATCCCTTGTCGGGACACGGTTGGAGCGTGGGTGCTCAGCCCACTCATCAAGTCCGGATCGCGGTGTCCGGCGATTACCAGCCTAGCTTTGTGCTTCCAGCCGATCTCCGGCTGCTCTTTTCTCTTGGACCAGTATTTGTCACGGTAGGCGAATCTGCTCCCAAGCACCCGGTCGTGCTTGGTTCTCAGGACTTCCCGGCTGGCTTCCACGGACAGAGGTTGGAGAGCACCATGTTGGAGATGTTCATCATACTGGGTACGTTCCGCTTGTCTAAAACCATCTCGTTGGTTCTCGGGGATGATGGACCAGGGGATCTCCTTCTCTAGAGCTTTCTCCTTGGCCCGGGGAGTCTTGGGGAGCTTCATCATGTAGTTCGTAAAAGGTGCGTGTCCTTCTCTACCGACGGTGGAGACGTAGAGCTCGTCAAAGATCTCGTCCCCGAGGTCCTGTGGCCCTTTCGTCCGGTACCGCTTAGCCACACGCGGGACGGCATTGGCATTGTCTTCCCCTTCGTCCCCTTCCATCGCTTCGTCATCTCCTGGAGGGAGCTCAGGATCAGCTTCGGCTTCATCATTGTCATCCCCGGCGAAGATCTCCTCCTCGGCGAAGGGCTGCTCCAAGAGTTTCTCGAGATCCTCCGAAGTTGTTCTCATCGTAAAAGCGGCACCGAGCTCTTCCCCAGAGGCGATCCTGATGTGTTCTGGGGCAATCAGGTGGCAGCGCCCGGCATAGGATGCCCAGTAGTTCCCCCCTTCACGGCCTATGATCGTCGCGGGACCAAACCATTTCCACGTCTTGGAGTCCTTGGGCTTCCGGTACATGAAAACATACATTCCAACTTCAAGGTCGCTCCCAGAGACGCGGCTGCGCTGTAGGAGAGCTCGGCGGAGCTTCTCATCGTTTTTGGTCTTGAAGAAGGATTCCTTGGCAGCTACCCTCAGGGTGTGTTCCCTGGCACGAAGTCGGTCCTTAGAGAGGACGTGGTGGAAGTGCTCGGAAAAGTTGTGGTCGTTGAGGTCTTCCGGTAGTCTGGGATCACGTCCCCAGACAGCCTGTGAAGGGCTGAATCCGGTTTGCCTCCGGAGGGTATTCATCGCAGAATTCACGGAAGTGATAGCAATCGGAGCCTCTTTCTTGATCACAGACTTGTCGTCCACAACCCGACTCCAAACTTCTTTCCACGTACGGATACATCTTTCCACAACTCCCTGTTGCCAGTGAGCCTGAGCCGCAATGGGGCGTAAGATGGTTCCATGCCATTCTGAGAAACGGGCCAAACCCGCTTGCAATCCGGTCTCCAGGTCAACAAGGAGCGTCCCAGGGGCGCCGAAGGTTTGACTCCACATCCGACAAAAAGTTGTTTCCATGGCTCTCCCGGAGTGTCCATCCAGTTCGCTGGCTAAACAGAAACCAGTGCCCAAGTCGACCGCAATGAGGAGCTCAATCTTCTCTTCGTAGGTATCGTAGGTGGTGAAGGCGTCCACAGCCACGATCTGGTTGAACTCCAGGAGATTGGGCAAACTGGCAGGGCGAGGAGAGGAGCCGCGCTGTTGCCTATCACACACCTGGCACCGCATTCGTTTACATGCTCCGACCACTGCCGGGTCCGCACCAGCCAAACGGAGATGCCTGGCCATATCGCTAGGGCTCGCGTGTCCGAGGTTCTGGTGCAACCTTTTGAGAGAGCTCTGCACGGGAAGTGGAATAGTCTCTCCTTTGGAGAAAGAGATAGCACTTGCTCCTCGAGGAAGTTCATCAGGAGGTGGTTCATCACTTCCGCGCGCTCCTCCGGTGGCCATGTAGGACTCGAAAACCGGGTTCTCTCCAAGCACGTTGATAGTATCATCGATCGCGTCCCTATGTCGCCCATTGAAACTCAGAGTCTTCCTTGGTCCAGAAGGCCATTCATAGTTGCCCTCGTACTTGTCCAGCAGTCCATCCAGTTGCCCCTCCGGAAAGGAGCACGTCTCCTCGAACTGGAAGATAAGGGGTCTCCCGCCTTGTATCTGAGCCTCAAAGACCTCGCGTAGTTGTTCGAGTCGTTGTCCCAGCTTCTCCACATGGACCCACATCACCTCGGGCTCGAACTCCTCGATGCTCTTCCTTGTATCCGCGAGGTGGTCTTGGGGCCCAAAGTCCTCGGGGAGCAGGGGCTCCATACAAACGAAATCGCTGTCCGCAATCTCGAGGGTCTTGGTGATGTCGCCAACCTCGAAGAGAACGGCGGCACCTTGTTTCCTTCCAGGAGGAAAGCTATTCGTCACGAAAGAAGAGGCCGCCATCGTGCACCAAGCCGTCATAGTGGCCAATCTCCGGGCCGTCTTCCACAACCCTTTCCGCACGCTCTTCTGGGGCCTCGGGGCTCGATTGAAGTCGTGGTGGTTGTCGTTCAAGGGGAGCTCCTTCAAGGGGAACCTCAAGTCGCGAAGGGTCTCGCGATCGCCAGCCAGAGAATCGGAGTACCCCCGGGGGGTGAAGAACGCCAGAACCCATCGATCTCCTTGCCATTCTTCGGTGCAGTGCTTGGTCTTGGGGTCGAAGACGTAGGGTTTCTCCTTGGTACAAACAAGTCTTCCCATCCGGACGTTGCCGCTGTCATCGGTCTTTTGGACAAGGCTCTCTGGGTCCTCCGGATTGGATTCCTCAACCCAAAGCTCGCCTCCGGCAAAGTCGCCGAAAGAGAAACTCGTAATCTTTGTATCCTTGTGGTTGTGGCTGTCCGAATGAAGGGAAGACTTGACGTTCCTGCTGAGCACCCACGACGACCAAGAACTGTTGACATGGTTGCGACCAAAAGTGTTGATATATCTGATGGTCCATGGGAGCGAGCGCGTGTTGTTGGTCAAACCTGTAAAAGGTCCATGGGTGTACATGCCCGCAACAAGGTGTTCCACCACGGTCTGGGAATCTCCACTGATACACCGGTGCTTCTTGGACTTTCTCAGGGGGATGAGCTCAGAGATCTCCAGCAGGTCCTGGAAAGTGAAAGCCTTGACCTTGAGCTTCTCCTTGGCGAGGCTCTCGCATTTCAAAAGCGCGGTAGAAGGCGAAGAAGTCGAAGTCGAGACCAGAGCTTCATGTTCTGTGTCATTGCAAAGCGAGTACTCCTCCTTGAGAATGGTCTCGAAAAGATCCTGTCCATCACATTCCAACAAACGCCCAGGGTCTCTTGTGGGTACGACTGGATGCTTGTCTGAAATAACAGGACCATGGTTCAGGTAGAGGGGAAACTTCTCTGACTTGGTTTCCTCGGAGTCCGCAAAACTAGCCTCTAACTTCCTTCCTTGGTTGCACTCGTTGAGGTAGGCGATCTTCTCCTGGTCGTTGTCGAAGTATATCTCGTCATAATCCTCATCGTAGTCCTCGGGGACCGGAGAAGAGTGTCTCCATGTAGGGCCCGACAAAGACTCATAGCCACGTTCCTTGTTGCCCTTTATATCCTGACACCCATCATCCTGGACCAGACCATGGTTCAGGTAGAGGGGAAACTTCTCTGAATCGGTTTCCTTGGAGTCCGCAAAACTGCATTCGGTTTTCGCCTCGTGGTCTTGCCCCTTGTACAAGACGGCATCCTTCTCGACGTTGTCAAAGTAGTTCTCGTCCTGGACCCTCGCACGGCCCTCAAGGATCAGAGGAGGGGTTCCTCTGGCATCTGGGACCCCCGCGGCGGGAGTCCATGTCGATCTCGGAGGATCGCCAGGCGTTCCTCCAGGTGCTGTACCTCGTCCAAGATTTCCTCCGGGACATCTTGTTCCATCAAGGGCCGACTCGAGAGACTGCTCTCCGAAGGGGCCGCCCTCCTCTTTGGTATCGCTGTAGGTCGTAGGCCCGGATAGGCCAGGCTCTTCGCCTGTGCCCCAGAGGGAACTCTGGATGAAACCCGCTCCCAAAGTGTCTCCATCTCCGAGGCCTCCGCAACGTAGGGGATAGTCGCCTCGGCTTCGGGGTCTCGGTAAGGGACCTGGTGCACAACTCCGTGCTTCTCGCTCTCGCCCCTCCACCATGCAGCGAACATCCGCAGGTCCTCCGATGCATTGTCGTTGTTGGCCACCTCCTTGACCGCCCAAGTCCGGTACCCCACGGGGGTGTCGATGTAGCGCATGCCCTTGAACCTCCCGAAGACCAGAAGAGTTTGCGGACCCTGGCCCCCGTGATCTCGGATCATACGCATGAGCAGGCCTCGGTTGTGCTTCTCCGGGACCTCGAGTCCAATCTCCCTCACCTTGTCCTTCAACTGCTGGAGATTCATCTTGCTCAAACCCGGAGTTGTCGGAGTCGACGACGAAGGATCGCTGTTCTCGCGGATGTCCTCCAGGATGACAGAGCGAAGTTCCACCACAGTCCACTGGGGGTTCACCGCGAGGTTCCGGGCTGCGGCTTCTCGGAGTAGTTCGTCCTTGCGCAGCTCCCAGACCGTCTTGGGCCGCTCCGCCATGGGTGCCGTCAGAAGCTTCGGCGCCATGGTATGCGACAGGATCAGGAAGTGAACAGCGGGGCATTGAAGCTCTACAGAAAACAGTCCTCCCGATCCAAAGCATCGGAAAAGAAGAGTCAGCACCAACATCCTTCCACAAGTCTTGTACTGCAGGAAACTCGCGCCGGCTCTGACATGACACTGCATTCACAACACGCATGAGGCCAAGGTTCTGTAGGAGGGACTCCTTGAGTTCTTGCTTGGGGGTACTCCATGATGAAGGATTGAAGAAAGTCCTACGAGGCACCACGTGTACTCTGACCATGAGATGTTCACCTTCTAGCCAGAAGTCGTTCTTGATAGAAGTCTGAGACCACCATGCTAAGAAACTTTCACAACACAAGACATCTCCAAGAAGTAGGTTCTTTGTAGCTTCTGCAATCCTTTTGGGATAGAAAACTCGACGAGGATGATGTAGAGGTTGTAGTACTTGTCTTGTCGGGGGGCTTGTCAGAGGCTGTAGGGATGGCTCACTAAACTCAAGGGCTACAGAACTCAAAGCGAACACCGTGTATTGCTGGCTGCGCGAGAAGATCTCCACCTCTTGAGTCTGCCAATCTCCGGCCTTTCTTTCAAGGCCTCTGGGATCAACAGGATGAACCGGGAAAGCTGGATGCCCCGTCTCAGTCATCTGAAGTGGGAGGTCGGTGACGCCAAGGGCGCGAAAGGTCGCGCGGTTGCCGGCCACATCCATGATCATGCCGAGGGACCCGAGAGCTGGGCGGGAGATCAACAAGGGGACCTCGCCGTAGACAACCGCGACCTTGAGTCCAATCACCTTTTCGCCCAGGTCGAAGTAGATCACAGCCGCATGGCGGGCCTCAAACACGCGAGAAGCCCCGAAGCGAAAGGCCTCCTGGATGTGAACAAACTCCACATTGAAGCCCGTCCTCTTCGCCATGGCAACGTAGGAATTGATCCAGTGGATCCCTGCCACACTCCGCGAGCACGCCGTATCGGTGATCGCAAGCAGGTCCTCGCTACCCTGGTCGCGTAGGTCCCAAGTCACGTGAACCACATGCTGCTTCATCCCGTCGTTTCTGGGAGCACCTGGTCCACCAGTCCTCTGGCTCGTCTGGGCCGAGGAAGAACCATTTCCACCTGAGGCCATTGCATTCCCGGAGCCGCCCGCCTTATTTAAAGGACAACAAGCATCTTTATGCCAATGTCCACGACGCCTGCATCCTGCACAGTACGACCGCGCTTTTGCAGCTTGAAGGCGTTCCTCAGAGAGTTTCCGGAGGGATTCGGGGTCGCTGCCTCGGAGCTTCAAGGTGTCTTTGTACTTCTGCTTCGCTGTCTCATGGGTCATGAAGCTCTCGTAGTACTCTGCTGCCACCTCTTCAGGCACAACGTCGTCCTCAGCAACATCCTGCGCGGCCTCGAAGAAGTTGTCCTCCTCGCCATCACCATGTCCTGTGAGGTGCGCCGTCTGAGGGCGCCGAGGAAGCCATTCTCGGCGCGGGGGGCTGCGGTCCGATCTAGAGTTTGCCTCCCAAGGTTTTCGGAGGCTCCTGTCATGCACGATGGCCGCCTTCTGGAGCTGCTGCAAGTTGTAGACATTGCCGACCGACGCAAGTAAATTAAGCTCGGCCTGTTCGTCCAAACCCATGCGATCCACGAAAACCCATGCCGCTGCCAGCTCTGGCAAACAGCATCCGATTTCATTCAACCTCGCATGTGCCCGGTCAAACTCTGAGAGGTACTCACGCACCGATTGCGTGGGTTTTCGACGTAGTCCTCTGAAGAAACCCGACAAACTACGCCCCACCTGCGTGATCTGAACATCCAGGTAGCGCTCCTTGATCCAGTTCAGGAAGTACTCGACCCCGCCCGGCGCCGCGAGGGAGTCCATGTCGAGCTTCTCCGCATCTATCCAGGCCTTCCCGCTCAGGTTTTGGTAGAGCGTGAGGGCTTGTTGGTCAGGACTAAGTCGTGTCATACGTCTCCAGGCGTTCACCTGCCGAACATAAGATCTCGCCGAAGACCCGATGTCGTCGTAGGCGGAGTTGATCTCCCCATCGAAAGTAGGGACCACCATCTTCTCGCTCGGACCACGAGAGTTTTCCGGGCGCTTGAGCGTAGCTCCCGCGCCATCGTCCCATCCACTGTCTCCGGGCGTCCAACCGGAGGGTTGCTTGCGATCGTTCCCCGAGCTGCCGTCGGCGGAACCAGCGTCGGTGGAGGAAGTGCCCCATGTATCCCCGAGGCTCCACCGGCGATCTTGCCATCCGTGGCCGCTCCACCATCCACCACGGTTTCCCCAAGAGGAATGATTCCACCAGTCTGACTGGTGGTCCGCACTCCAAAAACCCCAAGGGTCCGAACGGACCCAGTGCGAGGAACCATGATCATCACGCGGGGGGGCTCGAGAATCGCCACTGCCGGATTCATTCCCTCCGCCCTCACTAGGTCGCCAATCTGAATCATCATTAGGTTCACGATCATGAGTAGTTCCCGCATCATCATTTTGAACAGGCGACATGGCAAAAACTAGGAAAGGAGAAAGGAACCTAGAGCGCCCCAGCGCTCCGCTACCAATCTAAAACTAAGACCGGAAAACACAG